ATAACCAAATTTTATCTGAAGGAGTGATGGCTAGGACACAAGGAGAAATTCCCTTCCGTTTTGAATATGGCAGGGGATTCCCTAACGTCCACCCGAGCAGGTAAACAAGACCTCCATTTTAACATCTCATCCAAAGGACCATAGCTTTGACAGTGCAATTCTCTCCCCCCGCCGACCCCCCCCCCCACCCCCCGCTTTCTGCATTGAGCTGTCAGCCTAGTCTGCGTGAGCCTAAAGTCCTGTTTGTAACAATAGTTTATGCTTTTTTGGCACGCTTCACATAAAAGAAGGTCACAAAGGATACTTTAAAGGCAAAGAGTGAAGTGGGATGGCAACTTGGTAGCTCCAGAGGAGATGGTGTGGGAGCTTAAAGTTTGGCCACCGATGGTGGAATGAACAGAATGGGGAGAAGCAATAACCCCATGTCAAAATAGTAGGGATTATGCGTTGGAGTGTAAAGCTGGAAAAAATTGCACCAGTAGAATTTTTTAAATCTTCGACCATCACCTTATACCGATTGTAAGACATTCAAAAGAAAATAATGAAGTTTTCAGTGTTTCAGAATGTGTTCCTTGCGGCATTCCGAGTATTAATTAACACAAGAACAGTGTTAAAAAAAAGTGCCACAAGCTTTCCCCCAGAAGTTATATAATCCCCTTCACAAATTATTTCAGACTCGCAGTATGCAAATTTATGCATTCAGCTGTCTTGGAAGCAGCAATCTGCCAAGGGTGTGAAGAGTTCCAAAGGTCTTTCTCTGGAGTGAAGAGGTGCAGTCACCAACACAATATTCTGTGTACTTCTGCTGTAGCAAATTCTAATCTTCTAATGTCAGTGGGTAATGAAACCATCTGCAGTACTTGTGGAACAGAATAAATTAATTAAGGAATTACAGCAGCTTAATGAATGAAAATTTTGTGCTGCCCTTACCATCAGAGGATCACAAATCGAGACTAGCACCCAGAGGTATTATTAGCCGGGATGAAGCCTCTATCTGTGTATAACCTGGTGAAATGTATTACATTGTGTCACTGTGCTGTCTTGTACACTGGCAGGCACACTGCTGGAGAAGAGCTCAATTTTCATTCTGCAAACCATGCTTTCATTTATTGTTACCGTGTTTAACCTCTCCAGGACGCTACCCCGCTTGAGGGCGCTATATAAATGCAAGTTGTTGTTGTTATTTCCCTTCACTTTCTTCCTTAGTTTCTCTGGTCTTCCCAGATCACGTACTGGCTACAGTGAGTGGATGATTTGATTGATGGACTCTCACCTGTGCTATTAGGACGGGTATGACAAAGTTCTGAAAAGGAAGCCTTCATCCATTTTTCTCTCTCTATGGTGAATCACCGAGCTCCGTCCACCTTGTACTTGCCCACAGAGGCTGGGCTGAGGTCAGCAGCTCAATTATGGTGGGCACCTCAGGCTTGGATTCTCATCCCATCACTAGAAGAAGAAATTGCAATTGTTATAGTGTCTATAATGTCGGAACAATATCTCGAAGTGCTTCACTGTAAAGAAAATCACATATATCGGTGATTTTATTTGCAGCCAAACCTGGCATCATATTGTGGGAAACATTTTGTGGACAGTCTGTCTGTTCAGAAGAAATTATGCACTGAATGTGTCCAGCCAGAACTCATAGACTTATGGTGAATATGAGCAAAGCAATGTAGTTTTAGCTCTATTGAAAAATCGTCAACTTCAGTTTAAAAGATAAATTGCAAAAAAGAAAATTAACTTTGTGCAATGGAAGTACAGATGTCTCTCAGCATTTTTGACTGTAATTATTAATCATTTTATATAATATCAACTTGTGTTTAAGTGCTATTCATATGTGGTATCACGTACTTGATCAAACTATACACTCTTTGTGACATTCCCATTGCAAGTTGTATAATGCAATATTATGTATGCAAGCACATTGTGATAAATATTGGTCAGCTCCCCTACCAATCTATGGGAGGAGAAAGACCAAAAACATCTTCTATTTTGAGTTGACTAATAGTAACGCCTTCTGACAACCGAGTAAAAGCTACAGCCAACGGAGGTTGTATGATGCTTCTTTTTAGGATGCAGAGCTGAATGGAAAGGGAGTTCCTGGCTCATCAGGAAAGCTGTGCTGATTGATGGGAGTGATAGTTGTGGCTGCAGTTGGCCTCAGAGTCACCGAACTAGGGAGAGAGCCAGGATTCCTGTTCCTGATCTTCACCCTGTATACACTGCTAGAAGATACTGGTTTACATTTTTTCAAAGGCAAGATTGGACTCAACTGCATTGCATTTGTGATCCAATAGCATTTCACCTCTCACTGTTGAAGCTCACCAGTCAATAATTGCCACGTGGGCAAGATAGTGGTGGGGAACTGTGTCCATGAAATTGTAACCCAGCAGAAGGATGAAAATGGTAAATGCCTCCAGGAGAAGAGAAATATGGGCAAGAAGAAATATATAAAGAAACAGACCCTGATCTATTTACACAATAGAAGTTTATAACCCATTTTTCACAAGCAATTCACTGCACAATCTTTAATATGACATTTGTATGAGAAGCAATTGCTGGCAAAGTAAATGTGCCTAGCATTAATAAAAATCAGGGAAATTTGAGTTTTTGCTGTTGTCCTCTTTGCTAATGATTGTAGTTTGTGTAGAGAAGCAGTATAGCACTTAGGGGGCAAATTTGTATCAACTTGTCTCGTACCAGCACCCAGCAGAATGATGCTGCTCTCCAGGAGAGTAAAATTCATCGGAGGAACTGAGGTAACAATCACAGGAACAGTAATAAGGAACAGTTTCCTGTGCATTTTCTTCCACATTAAAAGAAGATAAAAATAACTGTTCATGGCAAGGATTGATGCGCTGCAGTGTTATAAATGACAGCTTTTAGTAAAACATCAATGAGGTGTTATTTGGGTGCATTCGTTTTATTGCTTAGGCTTGTTGGTTGCCTGCATGTCCAGTTTGAACATGATGCGATAATTTCGGGTGAAATGTTCCTGAGGAGAAGACGGGACATTTCCCAGACACAGCTAATTAATTAGAGAGCCAAGCCAGTTATGCGAGGTCCAGAGGGAAATATGGCAAATAGAGATATTCTAATGTTCTTCTGCTCTTCAGGAGTTTTTTTTTTAAATTCTCTCCCAGAGAATCTTGTTCAGAAGATGTGCAAAGCCTCAGTAATGAAATCTGATGCAGATTGAAGCAGCTCCTTTTTCAAGATAAGGAGTGGCGTTCCACAGGAATTGTCAGTTCATATGTGATGGATGACTTGAACATTTACAAAACCCCTCCCATCCCCCCCACCCCTCAAACAAAAAAGTTCTGTTGAAATACTGTTCTCTGTATTGGTGTACCATAAAGTGATCTTGGGGTAGAAATTCCACCTGTTCTCGATTTATTCTTTCAACATAGCATTTTAAATTGCCCAAAATTTGGCAAATTCTTAAATACAATTTGATTTTGAACCTAGTTTTCTGAGAGTTCTTTTAAGAGACAAAGTGTTTGATGTGTATGAAAAACAAAATTGTCTGCCGGATGTTTGATACACGGAAACCTAGCACCATGCTTAAGAGTATCCACATTGGGAATTCCATGCATACCAACTACACATGGAAATTCTTGTGTTGTGAACACATTCTAATTGTCTCCCAGATAATAATTCCCCCAGATAAAAAATGGTTGTTCACCTCATGGTTGTTTGTGGGACAGTGATGTGCACAAATTGGCTACCTAGTTTGCCTACAAATACACAGTCACTACACTTTACAGGCAAACATTTTGAGTCAATTTGAAAAGATAATAAGACCCTATATGAAATGCAAGGATTATTATAATAATCATAATCCTTTCATTTGATATAGCGCTTTTCACGTCTTCTAGACGTCTCAAACGCTTCACAGAATATACTGTAAAGTGAATTGACTGTATATTTGTGAGTGAAACGCGGCAGCCAATTGCGCACAGCAGTGTCCCAGATAGTCGTGGATTGAAGTGACCAAATTATTATTGTTTTTTTTTCTTGAGGGATTATTATCAGGTGTGTGGAGTAAGGAAGCTTGCCCAACGTTTCACCCTACCGGGAATCGAGCCCAAGTATCTCGCTTGCGAGGCGAGTGCTCTAACCACTGAGCTACAGGACTCCACAATATTAATTGTCATTAATATTGTCTAGAAATGCCTAGGCGGTGGCTAAAATTAGATGATTGTAGTTTGTTGTAATGTGCACTTGGTTGCACTCTTCTCTGCAATATCAATGTCACAGAAGTTGACAGTGCGTGGAGTGGGGCGGGAAATCAATAGCTGAATTTGGTTCAGATTGTTAGTTTGAGCCAAATTCAGGCCTGCTTTGTACTATTGCGCTGTCTTCATTGACCATGGTATGAAGCTTGGGAAGGGACCTAAAGAAGGGAAAAAATTAACTTTAAAATGAGACAAATAGTGCTAATGTGAATTGCAAATAAAAACTAGTATGAAGATTGGAATAACTGAAATGAATGCACAATATGATCCAATTTGTCATATTTCTTACTGGGGTTTCTTCGCTGAGTTATGTATATGGGGACTCTCTCAGGTAATTGCAGGAACATCATCCTGACATGCAAGAACTCCGCTGAATGCAATCTGCTTGCAGAGCATGGTTCCCGGGAGGCAATGGGAATTCTGTGAAAGAGTTCAGGAAAGAAATGCCCCAAATTAGACAGAACTTTAATTAATAGTAACATGTAATAATAATCTGCGCACATATGTATCCCATTTACATATGAAGATTACCCTGTGTCTGGAATGGAATATGCACTCTCTCCCTGGAGGACGCATTCTTTGTACCCAATTCCGGAGAGAATTAAGTGCAGGTTTGGAAAGAACCAATGCTTTTCAGAACAAGCGTAACCCAGACAACTGAGTTTTACATGTAAAATTGCCATAAATTGAGATTAATTGTAGCTAATTCAGTTGGGCAATGGGCACTGATTCTTTTCCTTTTGGGAAATTCTTTGTCTGCAGGACAGTGACAACCTGTGGTGGGACGCCTTTGCTACAGAGTTTTTTGAAGATGACGCTACATTAACACTTTCATTCTGTTTGGAAGATGGACCAAAGAGATACAGTAAGAAACCACTTTACCTGACTTAAACAGCAGTAATGTGCTCCACTGCATCTTTGGCTGGGGCATTCCAGGCTAAATATTGTTCTTTAAATTTGCTTACCAACACAGTGGCATCCATTATACATTATGTAAACCATGTGTAAATGCAAGTGCACAGAGGAATTAATTACAGATGCCCTAAAATATGCAATTCATAACTAATCAATTTTTTTTACAATTATGTAAGTAACTAGTCCTTTGTACTAAAAGTTACAGAATTAAAGCCAGCTGTAATCCCTCTGTCCTCATGAGTTTGCACATGGTTAGTTAACACATGGTGCATAATAGACCCCAGTGTGAGTCTGTCATTGCAATGACACCTCACTTGGCATGTAGTCCCCTTCGTGCCACCAGTTTGAATTCATACTGAAATTGTATTTCATCAGTCCTGTCAAAATGATGGTAAATCAATGTAGTGTGTCCAAGGCGCCAGTAGGTATTATCGACCTGACTGATGCGGCCACTTTTGAAAAAAACAACGAATGATTCGTTAAATGTACAAAATTATAACTACGTTGTGGCTCACAATGACATCAAATGTGTAACTTTATAAAAAACATTTGCAGGCAGTGATACTCCATCAGAGTTTTTATACTCTTGTTAATTATTCAAGTGCCTGTCTTCTCTATTCTTAAGGGCCAATGCATTTTAAGAAAAAAAAGTTCACCAATAATTTTTGTAGTGAACTTTTTAAAAAATGATTTTCACCTGAATTTCATTTTTAAACCCCCAAGTTTCCCATTTTATTTGATGTCAGCAATGTGTGTGCATCTGAAACGTTCCTCACCCCAATACCAATTGTGATGCGCATGCTCTCCTGTTACCGGCAATGCAGTGCAATGAGGCAAGTTTTTGACACTCATTCACATTGCTTCCTTCACGCATCCATTTTTGGTGCATATCCCAAACTCCGTCCCCTGGGTGTGGGCAAGTTCTACACAATTGTCTTGCTCAGCATGGGCACCTGTGAGGACGATATTAACGCTACAGGATTTAGTATTTTTTCAAAAATAGTTCACAATTTCAGTCTAATTCAGAGACTGTTGTAATTATGAAGACTGAATCGATTGGCAGTTTTCCACTGAATTTTAATTAACAGAGATATTCACAGAGATGGAAGATTTACAGTACGTCGTTGATACAAGTGCTTGAAAGAAAGCAAATGACTGGTACAGGGAGAGATATTACTTTAGCTCTTTGTTCACTGCTACATTTCTGGAGGGTCTGGTGTCTCCAGTTTCTGGAGCAGACTTTCCAAGCAGTCTCCCTTTTCCTATTTTTCCTCTCTGCCCATGGTCCGCTCTTCACAGAACTCTCCTCTCTCAGACTCCACCCTACACTCAACACTAAACAGAAGTGTGTAGGACACCCAACACAACAGAGACAGGACATTGCGGACAATTAGCATTGTTGGATAGAGTGCAATCTGTGGCCTGGAGACCATTCATTTAGAGTTTCGTTTGGAGGCAACAGTGGTATGTTGTCTGTGAGCACACTTGATCAGAGTTGTTAATCAATGTTTCCTGAGCCATTGAAACCAGTGTCACAATCTCCCTTTCAAAACAATGTCCATTGGCACCCCACATGCTTACTGACCTCATGGTTGATCAGCTCAGCAGGGAGTGGAATAGTCAGCCCAAGTGTCTGGTTTCAATTTGTGATGTCTATTTCTTAGACCGCAAAAATAATCAATCGGATTTGTTGCCTTGATCTGAGAAAGTGCTTTTTAAAAATCCAGTTACCGCTTTGTTACTATCTGGCTTGATTTAGAAAAGGCAATTTTAAAAATATTGTCCCTGGTCCCCAACCTCCTCCTCCGGGGAACAGTTCCACCAGTGCTTGTTGCCCTTTAGTACCCTGTCCGTGGTCCATTATTCACGTATGGCAGCAGACCACTCGATTGTAGAGGTTTTCACAGTCAAGCCTTGCCTTTCATCACCTGGCTGCTACAGACATGCACAACCATCAGGTGCTGAAGAGGGATTGGGACCGGTACCAGGAATCAGGCTGACTTTTCTCCCCCTGATCCTGTTAAATTGTTTTCTTAGACAGTTGAGACCAGCAAACTCACCATGGACCGGGATTCTAACCAGAGATCTCCCAGTCCATAAGGTGCAGCTCTACACCATTGACCCTGCTCGTAGAGAGATGTTTTGATAATAATAATCCTTGTATTTGATATAGTGCCTTATCACGACTTTGAAGCATCTCAAAGCGCTTCACAGAAATATACTGTAAAGTAACTGTATATTTTGTAAGCGAATTGTGGCAATTGCGCACAGCAGTGTCCCACAGAGAGTCGTGGATTAAACAACCACTTTTTTTAATCTTCTAAAATAAATCTCAAATTTCACAGAATTTACCCAGGGGAGGCGGTGCAAAAGTTAAAAATAAGATCTCACCCCCATCCAAAGAAAAGAAAACAGAATTTTATTTTGAAGGCAAAAAAACAACTTTAATAGTCCTTATTTTCTTCTGAGGTACCTACTGCAAAGTTCTTTTTTTTTAAACAGCATTAAACATTTATTGGGTGTAGTTATTTTTATTTTGACCTGGCATGACTTGCCAGGCTTGTATGTGGTTCTTCATTGTTCATTCTTTTTACGATGATTGTGAATCTATTTTCAATTTGAGAAATATTTTATAAGTATTTCTTTCTTCTTTCTTAAAAAATACATGGAATCCAAATATCCAGATGATATTTTCGGACCAGAAATGTCTTATAATTTTAATCCTAAAACCATAGCCATTAAATTCAAGGCTATTAAAATTTGGGGGAAAATTTTGAATTTAGAAACCAATTTTCTGCAGTTCTACAAAACAACTGAATTAAAAAGATTAGTGAAAAAAATCTGCATAATTTTATATTTTAAGGCAATGGGCTTAAAGAGCATTTTTAGGCCTCTGATGGCTCAGTGAGTTTATTCATTCAGTAGCTAAGTTACACAATGAAAAGTCACAGGTTCAAAACTTGATCTGTGTTGCGTTACTAATCTCAGCCAGGTCAGCAGTAAAGGAGCTGCAGTTGGTTTCAATACAGCAATTTTGAGAAGGGAAAAGTCGATCTAGTTCCGCTCCTGACTGCTACTCAGTCACCCCTCCTGGATGGTGTGTGGATGTCAGGCGACGACAGGAGCTTACTCTGATATGCTGCCCATGAGGTTGAATGTCCTGTCGACACTTCCTGTCGAGGCTCACATGTGGGTAATGGTCATTTGGGTGATGTGCTGAAGGGTGAACACTACTTGTGTAATGTAGCTCCAGCGGGAGTTGGATACCTTCAGGGTAGGAAAGAGAACTAATTGAAACAAAAACTGAAAAAATTAGGTTTAGGTTTGTTGCCCATTATTCTACTGTTATAATAATAGTGATATTAACAATGATATTAGCAAAGTTTCATAAGGAAAATTAAGACAATATTCTATAATGGGCCTATCATTAGCATTCCTGCAATCAGGTCTTTTTCCCTGTATTTAGTGTTAAGTGGAAGACTTAAAAGAATCCTTCCAATTTTTCAAAAAAATATTTTAAATGATTCTGATGCAGAATACAGTTCTAGTTTTGCTTTTGTTTTGGTCAGCCAGGTGTCTGACATGTGTGGAAAACCGTTACTATGCTTGAGAGTATCCAAACCAGACTGAGAGTTTCACAATGCATGTACCACATATGTATGTGGAGTCCTGTAGCTTAGCGGTCAGAGCATTCACCTCGCAAGCGAGAGGACCTGGGTTGGATTCCCAGGAAGCACGAAATGTTGGGCAAGTTTCCTTACTCCACAATCCTCTGTTTACCTAGCAGTAAGTAGGAACCCTTCTCTGTGTCAGAAGCTTGACCCCACACTGCCAGTTTGGCCGAGTTCTTGACCTCAGACAATCCTACTCCAGGACAGTCCAGAAATTCAGCATCCAGAGGGTGCACTCAGCTCATGAACTGCCTGCTCACGACCTTCTCCCTCCCTCCCGAAAGCATAGCCCAAGTGCATTGCATATGTGAGTCACTCTCTCTTTCCTCTCTCTCTCTCTTTCTCACATTTACGAAAAACTCTTGAATATCCTCCAATAATTGTCGCTTGTAGGTACAATATTTGATGACTCCAGCGTTGTGCTTCACAGCCCCTTTGTTTATCTTGGAGAACTCTATTAATCTGAGTTCTACTGTACACCAGACCTGGTTGATAGGCACAAGGAGTCTGAATTCTCATTTGGCTTGTATGTTGATGCTGAGTTTAATTTTCAGTGAATCATTCAGCATCTATCAGTGTCTATTCCGAATAAAAGCAAGTGGCTAGAGTTACAGAACACCAAAGCACCAAGGGTGTTACATGGTGATTGATGTAAGATAGGGGGATAAGCAATTGCGGCAATAGCATCATTTTACAATGGCTGGCAAGAACAGATCATTATTATAGTGATAACAGCGTGACTTCTTTGCTGTTAATAAAAGGCTCACTGGGCATCAGTGTTGACAGTGTTCACTTCACTGCTTTAAAAGCCACCGATAATTCTCCAAAGGTCCTAAAATGACACCCTGCAGCAATGATAAGGACAACTGATATGGTGTGATTAAGTCCATTCATGTTGTCAGGTATCAGATTTGTTAGTTGTCTTATCAGTCACCAAGGCACAAAAGCCGGAGGGCAAAAGGCAATTAATGTCCAGTCAAATCATTTAGTGTACCTTCTCTTGTGAACTGCAGTCTAAATAGGAGATTTGTCATTGAGTGAGGTGTTTGTGCCATCAGCGTAATTTAATATTGTGGTAAATCCCCAGTGTACTATTCGAGTAGATCTCTGTGCTGCAGTGGATGTGTATATTCCACTTCATTGGGAAGTCAGTGTTAGTTTTGGCTGCTGTACCTGACCTGAGCCACCCCCTCCCAAAATGCCACGGTTCTACTCCCCACCCTTCGCTCCTCCCACTCACTTGTCTCCTACCTTGCCTCCTCAGCCTTCTTCTGTTCCA